CAACCTAACTTGCCCGGACAGTGAATTTTACGTACGTCTGCTTGATTGTAGCTTTGCTCCGATCCATGCCCCAGCTAGACAGGATCTCAAGCTGAAACTCTGACAAAATCTGGAAACTCTGTCTATTTTCAATCGCATAAAGACCTGAACACAGAATGCCTAGCCTGTGAGATGAGCGTGTTACAAAGGACTCAAAATTATGCGCTACAGGTGGCATAATTATAAGGTTAAAGCGTCCAAACATAAGTGATTGGATTACTCTCTACTCGACATGAATGACGAGAACTATAAATATTGCGATTTTGTCTGGCGTTCAATCCAATTTCCAGGAATTCGCAGTGAAGGATTGCTTGAGTGACCATATGATAGAATATGTAAGTGAGGCTGTCAAATGCCTTTAATTTATGATCACATCATTATTGGTTGACCTCATAAAGTGTGACTTTCTGGAGTTCAAACTCCGGGCTGCGGGGGTTCGCAATGACGGTAAGATCAAGCAGTAGCGGGGAATGAGTTTAGCTTTTCCGCGCTTTCATCTAACGGTCATGACATTTGCACCCGTGCGATGGGAAGACTGTTTGGCTGAGAGGGAAGTGATTATAAATACTGACGTAATTGCACAGAACAGTCGCCTCCAACATTTAATACATGTGGGTTGAAGCTGTTGTTTGTAATACCGTTGTTTCTGATCAGGCACGAAAGACGGGGGCTTTACTAATGGTGACAAAAGATATTGAGTGATAAGTGTACTGCTAGATTACCCGCAGGTTAACAAGCATTATTCAATACTTTGGTGCATCATTCATGATATCACCATATGCTTATCAGCCATGCAATATCGTAGACCAACTTTTCCCACTCAAGGCCAAGGGGTTTAGGCAACCTCGCGAGTATAGATTGTTTCCAGCAATCTGTTGGACCACGTCGAGTTACGCGCAAAACCCAAAAAGCCAAATATTTCAAATGGAGGTTTATCTACAAATGCGGTACTATAAACACAATGATAAGATAATGAAAATTTTACAAACCTCAAATCGTGGGACTATGCCAGCTTGTATACACCAGATTAAGAACTGCTGATTCCTTACGATCTCAAAGTTCACATCGACTCAAAGCCACGTGTTTACAAGATAGAGAAGCCGTTTGTGAGCTTAAACAGCACGTCCAATGACAAGGCCAAAGAAGTTTTTGTGTTTAGGTCAAAAACGAAAGCGTTTTGAAGGCGCAAACCAAAATAACAAAAAGGGGAGAATCGCACAGTACAACATAAAAACAGAAGAAAGGAATCAACAGTGAGTGGCGTGTATTTCTATGAAACTTTTTCTGGTTTCACGTATCTGGTAAGGTCAGTACTGAAAGTTGGGAGCAACGACACTGCAGATAAAAGAGGAGCATAACGGTTTTTTCGTTGTTGAAGATTGGATTTCCCCTAAGCATATTATGGCTAACTGTTCTTCTGTTTACAATATTCACATTGTGGCCCGTGAAAAAACAATTGTTCAGTAGCTACCCAACATTTAATCTTGTCAAAAATGGCTCCAAAATCTCCCATTTTTGAAAGTTAGTTTTTAATTTTATGGAGTGCAATTTCAGCCTCTTGTAATGAGCTTTAGAGTGAAAATAATTGATTCTGCCTGCAGATAAAAATATCCGGGCATAAAACTATTTGTTTGCCAAAATTCTTCATAAGTTAGTTATTATCACCAGAAAAAAGAAAAGGTTTTTGTATCATTCTCGAGATAACTCACCGATAATCTGTCACCGTATCCGCACGTTCTGTTTCCAGAGACGTTGTATCCGTGATGGTTAACACATTTTTGCTCTCTGGCAGCTCGCGACCGGCAGTCACGGATTTCTTCTGGTCGTGTGAAGAATTATGCTTACTTTCGGACAGCTCGCAAATCATCGACTGCAATTTGTCCAATATTGGCTGGCTGAGTTCATGACCACTGTTAACAACAATGAATTTCTGCGGAAATAAAAGTGATGAAAAGTACAATGATGAAAGCGTCATTCAACCAGGAACTTTTTCATTAAGACGTGGCGATTTTGTGACACTGTTAAAATACAGAAGGCTAGGATTGGTAAAAAATATTAAACCACAATAAGATCTTTATTATGGAGTAAATTATTCTGGAATGATTCGCACTGGGCTTCAGTCGAAGGGTATTTTTAAGGGACTGAGTACATTCACAACGCATCTAGAGTTGGAACATACTGCTCAAGACCCTTATGACGGTCAAATCATCCCTTTGTCCACAAATTTAGCGCCTAGGTTGGAAAGCTCGAATTCAAACGGGTAATGATTAACTTTTGCTAAGCAAGATTCCCTGACTGATCCGTGATGAACGGATGACATTAAATCCCTTCCCGTTCACCTTTATTCTTCTCATGATTTTACACCAGCAAGGCGCCAGTGCTGAACAGAGATTTCATCTGCTAACGGAAATGATGGCGATGATGATGACAACACACCTGAGCAAAATGGGTAATATTTCTGTCTTCAAATTCAGTCATCAGGTACAACAACAGAAATTATAAAACACCTGAAATTTCAATTCTCACCTGGCCTGAGAGACTTGATTAGAAAATAGATCCAGAAAACATCTTATTGTATTTTGACAGTTGTGAAGTTTAGCTACGAAATGAAGACGGCATTTGGCTATCAGTGATGATTACGTGTAGTTGCCCTACTGGAAAAATTGTCTTTTTCCGTGTTTGATAGATAACGTAGATTGAGGGGTACACATTGTAATTAATATTGATTTGTTAAATGCTAGGTTGCTGCTTCATGTAGCAAACTCATTGGTTTATTAATTATTCTCCTTTAATCAGTAAATTCCTTTTCAGTCCCACGTACACATTTTCTTTTGGATACCAAAGATAAATTATACAAATGAGGCCATTGGGTGAAATTTACTCCCGACAGGAGACGAAAAAAGAAAAAAAACTGGAGTGCAGACTTAGTAAGATCATTACTTG